TTGTATCCCCTTTGACACTATGTGAATCACAAGATTGAGGAAAAACATGGCGAATATGCGGACCTCGCTTTCGAAATGTCACGCTTGCATCCCAAGTACCAAGTTGTTCGACTCCCCAATTGTTCTCGGTGCCTACAGTTTGGCATCACCCAATCTGTTGACTGACATTGGGAGAGTACCCGGGTTTGCTACCAGGAATACAGCCCTTCTGACAATCTGGGTTATGCAGAAGGCTGCAGTGTTGGGGAGTCTTCACATTCTCCGAAAAGTTCTGGGTGGGTTTGACTAGGCAGCGCTTCCTGGGAGAAATCCCATTCGCTGTCTGGGCTGCGTGTAGAGGGGGCAAGGGCCCTGAGCTGATGACGAGCCTAACCAGCCTGACTGTGCCAGGATCACCCAAACCCTCTTTGCTGCATTTTTAATTTTAATCTGTAAATAATAATAATAATAATAATAATAATATATATTTTTTATTAAAATAATACGACTACTTCCAAAAATAACAAAAAAGCCTGATAATAATAATTTATTATTAATTGGTGGATATACGACACTGAGTCCTTGTTTAAGGAGGCATGGCAACAGGTAGTGGTGGAGGATGACGTCATTGTAGCTATATCTCCTAACTGTATGAATATAAGGGCAAACACCATATTTTAGAAACAAACATCATTTATTTGTTATATGAGAAATCAACATCATTTACAAACTGTTAAAGGATGTTATACTTTCATATGACCGGCAGTTTATGCATGCTGTATTGTCGTAGTGGCAGTCGGCAACAACGTACGTTCAGTGGGTGTGTTGGAGAGGTACCCGTGACGTCGCAGCAGCCGTAACGACATCCTTAGTTGTTATGATGCTTGTCATACCGTGAGATGTGATTAACTCCACTTGGACGTGCATATATGTCATTCCGTGCCAGCTTAATGTGAGTGGAGAGATTAGTATGGTTTCCCTCTTGATGGACGAGTTTTTCCTGTGTTGTTGTCAAGGTGGCGCTAATGGTAGATGAGGCCTTCAGTGCAAAGTTATCCAATTGTTTTGTTGAGTAACTGTGAAAACGTCCTTCGTGTTTGCTAAATGCGGAAAACCGTAATGTGTTATCAACAGAAACATAATTTCGGAGTTTTATTTTTTTAACCTTTCAATGGGTGGATTTATTCCATGTAACGTCACAAAAGTATTGGGTTTGGATCAAGTCATATATTGATGTAGCGTTGTAAGTGTACTTAAAGGGTTAGGATCAAGTCATATATTGATGTAACGTTAGAAAAGTAATGGGTTAGGATCAAGCCATATATTGATGTAGCGTTAGAAGAGTATTGGGTTAGGATTAAGTCATATATTGATGTAGCGTTAGAAGAGTATAGGGTTAGGATCAAGTCATATATTGATGTAGCGTTGGAAGAGTATTGCGTTAGGATCAAGTCATATATTGATGTAGCGTTGGAAGAGTATTGGGTTAGGATCAAGTCATATATTGATGTAGCGTTACAAGAGTATTGGGTTAGGATCAAGTCATATATTGATGTAGCGTTAGAAGAGTATTGGGTTAGGAACAAGTCATATATTGATGTGATTTACTGTGTTAAATCCCAAGGGATTTAAAAAATCAATTCGACATCCAATAAGTTTGAGGCCTGAATCATGTCAGGCTTGCCTCTCAGATGGGACTGAAATGCCGTGATATAACTGCAATATTTTGAAAGCAGCTTAAAATCCAAATCCCTCACTCTCAAAAAAATTGAAAACAAACTACTCACCCAGTCACTCACTGACTCAATGGCTCACTCATATTCACTCACTCACCCACCAATTGCATGCAAATACCTCCCACCCACCCACTACCCCACTCAACCTGCCTTTCATAGACGTGTATGTCACGTGTTGGACAAAGTACGTACAATACAGGCCTTGCTCTTGCTTCATGATCGTGGTTCGAATCCCAGATTTGCAAAAATTCTTTTTTGTCACCACCATTTCATAATATATGTAAACATCTCTTCAGTCTTTCTACTTACATAAAGGACCCGTGAAGATCCCATGCTCTGCCGTAAAAGGCGACTATGCTTGTCGTAAGAGGCGACTTACGGGATCGGGTGGTCAGTGTGTGAGTGAGTGAGTTTGGTTTAACGTCGCTTTAAACAGTATTCCCGTTATATCACGGCGTGTCAGCTTAATGTGGGAGGAAAGCCCGAAGTGATGCAGGTCTCAGACGTTTACCACTTCGGAGAAACCCACGAGCACGGGTATGGTGCTGACAAACCTAGAAACACAACTGGGGCGAACTCGGGTCGTCAGGCTCGCTGACTTGGTTGATGCATGTCGTCGTATTCAAATTGCGTGGATCGATGCTCATAATGTCAATCACTGGATTATTTGGTTCAGACTCCATTATTTACAGACCGCCGTCATATAGCTGGATTATTGCTGAGTGCAGCGTTAAACAAGAAACACACAAAACAGTGACATAAAGCTGACACGCCATGATATAGGTGAAACACTTTTTAAAACTGTGTTTTAACTCACTAACTCACTGGTGTATCCTTCCCTCCAATGTAATGTCTGAGGCACTGAACAAGCCTCCCGATGTCTTGAAATTCTAGCGGTTTGACAAATTAGGTTGCACATGTTCCCTCGAATTACTTGACGCCATTGTAGCGCAAATAACATTATCACTTTTTCGATACTTAATATAATAAAGTAACCTGAAAGAAATTCCCCTTTTAAAAGACATTTAAGGATCGTTGATTTTCTTTTGCGCGCTTCACTACAACTGAAAGAGCAAAATAGAACAGGAAGTGAAATCGTTAATGAATAAGCGCAAGTAAAGATGTTTGTCTGCGTATATATTCCTACGTGGGTTTATTTCTTTATCATGATCCTGGCACAGTCAGGCTGGTTAGGCTCATCAACAGCTCAGGGCCCTTGCCCCCTCTACACGCAGCCCAGACAGCGAATGGGACTTCTCCCAGGAAGCGCTGCCTTGTCGAACCCACCCAGAACTTGTCGGAGAATGTGAAGACTCCCCACCACTGCAGCCTTCTGCATTACCCAGATTGTCAGACGGGCTGTATTCCTGGCATAAACCTGGGTACTCTCCCAATGTCAGTCAACAGATTGGGAGGTACCAAACCTAAGGCACCGAGAACAATGGGGAGTCGGACAACTTGGTATTTGGGATGCAAGCGTGACATTTCGAAAGCGAGGTCCGCATATTCGCCATGTTTTTCCTCAATCTTGTCAATCACATTACTGTCAAAAGGGACAGAAAATTCAATTATATAAATGATTTCATTGGATTTTATCAAAAAGGACAAGATCAGGTTTGTTGGCCTGGATACATCTGAGGCTGTAAATGGGCCTATTCCAAAGAATTTTGTAGTTATCATTTTCCATGACGCCCTCTACATATTCCGGGTCGTACCATGGATGGACCTCTGTGTGAAAACCACAAGCATGGCGAAGACGGTAATAAAATGATCGAGCTACACCATCATGTCGTTTAAGATACTGTGTTTGTGCCAAAGCTGGGCGTCCACTGAGAATGTGTTGGACAGTTTCATTAAATACATTACATAATCCACATTTCATATCCACATTCTCATACACAATCACACATTGACGGTTTCGAGTTGGAAGTTGGAAAATATTTGGCGAGTGAGTTTGGTTTAACTATTAGGTTTCTGGCGTGCCCAAGGGACGCAACTCTGCACAGAGACGTGCGACGCCGAAGACGACTGGGCCACCCGTGCCCTGCAAATTTATTTACATAATGTAGACATGTTATTGCGATGAGTGAGTGCGTGGGGGGATAACCAAATATTGAACAATGTTCCAGTGTTATCACGGCGTGTCAGATTTATAAGAGAGGCAAGTGATGCATGTCTCAAACCTTTACTACTTTGGTGAAACTATGGCGCCGACCAACCGAGAAACATGATCAGTTCGAACCTTGGATTCAAACTCACTATCGTAAGTTTCTGGCACGCTTGATGTACGCACCTCTCGATAGCGATTTTCCGTGTAATGATAATGACGTAGTTGATGACGTCACAATCTATAACTTGTGACGTCACGTTGCCACTGTACGTTTTTCAATACAGAACTCACAATGGTTATTCCTGAAGTGTGTATGAATAACAGGTATATACACTTGTGGTTTCTTCATAGATGTAGTTCAGTCATCTGGAAAATCCATGTCCGAATAGGTCCCAAGTATATCATTCTTGCCGTAAGAGCTAGCTAAAATTAGGATCTGAAGGTCAGGCTCTGTGGCTTGACTGATTGTGTGTCATAGTACCAGGTTAAGTTGATCGTCTAGCCTATCTGGTCTAGACACAAACGCCGTTTTAACTATACACGCCGCCGTAATAAAGGTAAAATATTGCTGGCTGTGGCCTCAAAGAATATTCACGCAATCCTCAAAATCACTTAAAACTCAAATATGCATATTTTCTTAAACTTGTTTCGTAAATCCTATTTGGCACAAAATTGGCTGGTTTGCTGTTTTACGCCGCACTCAGCAATATTCCAGCTATATGACCAGACCATCCAGTGATTGATATCATGAGCATCGATCCGCGCAATTGGGATCGATGACATGCATCAACCAAGTCAGCGAGCCTGACCACCCGATCCTGTTAGTCGCCTTTTACGACAAGCATAGTCGCCTTTAATGGCAAGCATGGGTTGCTGAAGACCTATTCTACTTCGGAATCTTCACGGCACAAAACACACATACATAAACACACATACGCACGCACGCACGCACGCACGCACGCACGCACGCACGCACGCACGCACGCATACATACAGACACAACCACGAACGCACGCACGCACACAAAGACACATTCACGTATCACACTGCAAGCATCCCTCACGCAACGTGGGTGGTGACACCGGGTGTCAAGTATACACACGCAGTCAGATCACAGGTCACCCTTTTATTGTCATCTTCTACCGGAGCATGTACAAGGACTCAGTCAATCAAGATAAACATAAAAATAACCTCTTTATTGTCTAGTTTCAGTACAATCCGAGATCCTACCCGCTTAGCAGTGTTGCAAGAAAATAAGAGCAGTGATCACATGAATTAGCATTTAATACGTATATTGTTTCTGTACTAACTATTTTGGATGATATATGTCAACAACAAAGAAGAAATAGTCGTGTAACATTGAACAGAAGAATCCTGCTTATTTAATGGACATAAAACTTTATACAATCTTAACTCTTTGATTTTTTTGGACAAAAACGTAAATATCGGTTAGAATCGTAGGCGTTTATCGATCGATATGGTTGTATCGGTGCATCGGGTCTAATGCATGAACTATGCCAGAAAAATAAATTCAATATAATGTTTGTCTATAATGATGTAGGGCAGTTTATGGTGCAATCAATATATAACATACTGATATGAAGTGACAAATCCACGTCCACCAAGCAGTTAAAATGTGCATATTCGTATATTCAATAAATCGTTCGCCATCTCGTGAACCTGGATATCTATACTTATTCACAATCCTAGTGAAAATATATCACATTCTTCGCTCAGTAATAGTCCATCCGATACAATGTCAAGTCTTAACATGGGCTCATACTCAAATGACGTCACGATGACGTCACTTCCGGATCAAGTTTGTTGCTATGCTGTCCATCATCCGCCTGTTGACGATGTGGGAGGGATACGGAACAAGGAGGCGTCTGTACACTGGGCCAGCGGTCCGTTTTCTCAGAAGGTCACTGGCAATTGAATCTATGTATCGCTTTTCAAAGGCTGCCCAGTCAAGAGCTGATGGCCCGCCAGAGTGATAGGGGGAATAAGCCTCCAGGGACCGTCTCAATCTCTGGGTGGAGACAGGAGCGTCACGCTTGTGAAGGGCGTGGGGCATGTCCGGTGCATCTCGTTTGAGAAGATCCCCAGCAATTGAATCCAAATGGCGTTTCTTGAACAGATCTCCAGCGATAGAATCGAGGTTGCGTTTCTTGAACAGATCTCCAGCGATAGAATCGAGGTTGCGTTTCTTGAACAGATCTCCAGCGATAGAATCGAGGTTGCGTTTCTTGAATAGATCCCCAGCGATAGAATCGAGGTTACGTTTCTTGAACAGATCTCCAGCGATAGAATCGAGGTTGCGTTTCTTGAATAGATCTCCAGCGATAGAATCGAGACTGCGTTTCTTGAACAGATCTCCAGCTATGGAATCCAGACTGCGTTTCTTGAACAGATCTCCGGCTATGGAATCCAGACTGCGTTTCTTCAGTAGGTCACCCGCAATGGAATCAAGATTGCGCTTGATAAACTCTCCCGCAATTGAATCGAGACTTCTCTTTTTGAAAAGATCCCCTGCGATTGAATCAAGGTGCCTTTTCTTGATCAAATCACTTGCGATTGAATCCATATGCCACTTCTTAATGAGATCTCCTGCGATTGAATCAAGATGGCGTTTGTCGCCGGAGTCACGTTTCAGTAGGTCCCCTGCGATGGATTCGAGATAGCGTTTGCTGGGCAGATGATCTCCTTGAGATCTCTTGAGCAAATCACCAGCGATAGATTCCAGGTACCGCTTACTTTGTGTGTCCTTCACGGCTGATCTCTTGAGAAGATCACCGGCAATCGATTCCAGATATCGCTTTTCTTCCTGGAAGGTGTCTCCATGTGACCTTTTCAGGAGGTCTCCAGCAATTGATTCAAGATATCGCTTTTGTTCGTCATGCTTATCTTTCGCTCTTTTCAATAAATCCCCGGCAATTGACTCAAGATACCGCTTGTGATAGCCCCTTTCCATATCAGCTCTTTTGAGTAAATCCCCTGCAATTGATTCCAGGTAGCGCTTGCGTTCACCCTTTGTCCCTTCCGACCTCTTCAGCAGGTCACCAGCGATTGACTCTAAATATCTCTTCACCTTGTGGTCGCCCCTTGACCTCTTCAGCAAATCCCCTGCAATCGATTCAAGGTAGCGTTTGTGGGGTTCGTCGTCCATCTCCGATCTCTTCAACAGGTCCCCAGCAATTGACTCCAGGTAACGCTTATGGGCCTGTAGCTCTAGCTGTGACCGTTTCAGTAAGTCCCCTGCAATAGACTCAAGGTACCTCTTTTCTTCGTTGCGTCCTGAATCTTCTCTTTTCAGAAGATCTCCGGCGATGGATTCCAGATAACGTTTCTTGTCCTCCTTTTCCGAATCAGCCCTCTTCAATAGGTCACCAGCGATCGACTCAAGGTAACGTTTTTCGGTGCCAACTGAGTCAGACCTCTTTAAGAGATCACCCGCTATGGATTCAAGGTACCGTTTCTCCATCTTCTCGCCGTCTCTCTTCAAAAGATCCCCGGCAATGGATTCAAGATAGCGTTTGTCAGGCGTTGCATGAGATTGAAGCTGGGTTCCGTCGGATCGTTTGATAAGGTCACTTGCAATAGAATCAACGTGACGTTTGCTTGGAACCTCCTCGGAGGTTGATTGGCGGGCATCCAGGAGGGTTTGAATGACCTCGGGGTCATCCAGGATCTGTAGTAACATCTTCCGGGTCAGCTGGGTCATCAAGGAATCCCATTTAGGGTTCAACATGGCTTTCTGAAGCTGGGGATGTTTAGAAGCGATAATGACTTCAGAGGCCGGCTTTGTTTCATCGATACCCTCTTGTGCTGACCTGGAAAAGGAAAATCATAAAATTAATTGAGATGTCATCACTTGTTTTTGCTGTGTATTTAACGTCGCCTAAAACAGAATTTCAGTTAAATCAGCTGACACGCCGTGATATAACTGGAATAATGTTAAAAGCGGCGTTAAACCCAACTCACTCACTCACACACTCTTTTTACTACATGTTAGAGGTAACCACGCTGCAGTATAGTAATATATACTATTCCAATTTTGATGGGGATATCTTTATCTTTCCATGATGCATAGAACGGATATTCATAACAAGTGAAGTGTACGTTTAGATAGATGTGACATATCGTATTTTCCCTATCAAAAGTTGAGTGGTGTTTTAACATTCATTTTCACTGAAAAACATCGGATGTTTCAATATTACGTCTATAATGATGTAACGAAATCTGATCCTAGGTGAATGACCTATTAAACGTTTTTACTTTCTGGTTATTATTGCCAGATACTGATAATATTCTTTCGTTTTCATGAAACATTGAGTTAGTCAAAAATCATTCCAATTCCAAAATGCCTGAAAAATGTTCAGATCTTTTACCCTGCCAGAAGTAGGTAAGGTGCCACCAGGCCTTTGGGAAACCTGATTTCAATGTCTCTGCGGTGAGACTTTGCTGGTATCCCCAAATTAAAAAAATCCAAAAGGGGTGGGTTAGACTGTCCTGAAACAAATATACCCAATACAGCCAACGCAAGTCTATAATAGTGGGCAAGGCTAGGTTACTACAGTTTCAGGAATAAAGGGAGTCTCTGAGCGTCTCTTTATTATATTTTATACAGATAATTTAACAACTGTTTTTTCCGTAAGATGTGATCATTTCAGATACAAGATGTAGTTTAGGTTGTGGTGGGCTCGAGGTCTGTTTGTCATGCGTCGGCATAATGACATCAAAGCACTATTGCAGCTTGGTATTCAGTCTCATCGATATCAACGTGGAACAGTCCATCCATGAAGCGACGTGGGACTAGCTGACAGAAAAATACCTGCTTCTTGCTTTGAGTATCCTAGAGTCTATTCACTCAGTGCCACACGTCAAATATGCTTCACTGGCTCAGCTGCTCCAATAAGGTTGGCACCAGTTCGCGGTGTTTACGATTATATTATTTATTAATATCTTGCGTGTTATGAGAGATTTCGTGGGGATGTGACTGATTGTATAGATTAATATTCCAGTCGTCACTTTTTAATGAGTCCCAGTTACCATGTCAGCACGGTCAGGTGATATATACTGTGAAACTTTGTTAACCGGACAGTATCGTGCTCACTGAATTCGTCCGGATTAACACATGTCCGGTTTAATGAAATACGCGAAGGCAGTAAATATGAAATGTCAACCCAAGAGAATAATAAGAATAAACAGGTTCCATTGGGCGAAAACAGTGGTGAAATGTATATGAAAGGGTGACTGAAAATTAGTGATAACACCAACTGTTCGTTGTCGACATGAAAACGTTCCAAAAACAACTCGAAACGACATACTATAGTTCATTGGTGGGATGACCGCTGGCTTTTGTGAAGGATGTTGACTTACGTTCATAACTAACAACCATTGTCAGCACCATACCCGTGCTCCTTTTTTTCTCCGAAGTGGTAAACGTCTGAGACCTGCATCACTTCGGGCTTTCCTCCCACATTAAGCTGACACGCCGTGATATAACTTGAATACTGTTAAAAGCAGACCCTGCACTCCTTTGGGGTGAGTGAATAGTTTAACGTCGCTTTGAACAGTATTTCAGTTCTATCACGGCGTGTCAGCTTGGAACGATGGACGTGATGAAGGTCTCAGACGTTTACCACTTTGATGTTAAGAATATCTGTTGACATATTGACGGAATCTAGTGAGAATAGTTTGATTTTCACCCTGGAATAACATTGCATGACGCCAAGGCACTCTTCCTAGAAGTAATGCCGAAAATGAAGGCGTGTAACAAAAAAATACTAATCACCTGACAACAATGTAACACGCAAACCGATGTCATGGTGCTCAGATGAACGCACCACAAATTAATGCTGACAGTACATCCGATTACTGCCTCTAAGCTTTCACTCAGCCACGTTAATTATATTAGTCTTAAGGAAACACCCTTTTATCTTTACATAACTATTTAATTTGGTTTGGTCCTAAAAACGCCAAAGCATTTGTCACCCTGTTACAATCACTGCTGTTAACTTTGATTGTAGTGTTTTCAGCCTGTAAGGTGATTACCCAAGAGAGCAATACAGTTAGACGGAAAGGAGATTCATTACGACGTTTGCTCTGACGTATTAAAATAATACAAACTTGCCTCTTTAATGTTGAAAATGGCCACAATAGCTGTAGGGTAATCATTTTGGCAAGAAACCAAAATCTTCGCGATTTTCCGTATTTGTTTTGTTTATATACCTTACTGTATTATGTTTTAGGTTATATCATCGTTTCTCCATATTGCTTGTGTTATGATCTTAGGCTTTACATCCGTGATTGAACAATAGACAGAGTAAATCCCATGAACACCTCAGAAGTATTCGTTGTTCATCCAACTTGGACGTTATAATACTTCGGTTGCACACTTTTGAGTTAGTGAGTATGGTTTTACGCCACGTTTAGAAATATTCCAGCAATATCACGGCGGGGGACACCAGAAATGGGCTTCACACATTGTACCCATCTCGGGAATCGAACCCGAGTCTTAGGCGTGACGAGCGAACGCTTTAACCACTAGGCTACCCGACCGTCTCACCCTTTTTACATGGCCCATAAATACCACGAAAAATATGAATGACCTGAGCAAATTCAGCCATCTCGATATAGTTACACGCCCACTTTGCAAATTCTAATATTTCAGTACAACATGTATTTTATTATCCGGTATGAAATTTACTTTCCTTTTTTCATGTCTTTACCGGAGCATTGGCTACCTTTGTCTGTTACAATCATATTCGTAAAAAAATCCAATGGCCAAAATATCCAATGTCACAATGTTATTTTGATAGGTACGTGAATAATTTGTTAGTGAATTACTTTTACACATTTTTCATTTCTTGGTGTAATATACAAAGGGATATTACACGGAATGTCGTTTTTTGAAAGCCAGGTCTAGTTATAGCTGAAATGAACGGATGTCGTATTCAGGTGAGCCATTTCTTTAACGTAAACTAAATACAATCTATTAACGTCTTTGTGTAAACAAACGCACATGTACATTTAAATTTATCATCCAACATAGCCGTGCAAGAAACAACATCAATCAATATATCACATTGCTGTTACCTGTATACAATGCTGTGTGCAACTGACAATCTACATTTTTCCATATTTTTTAAAACAGACGCATCTTGCCAAAAATAATTTAAATACTCGGGATTATATTGATCAAAGTACCCATATCCTGACGCGCATTCAGATCGCTTGTGCCGTTTCGACGCATGGCGGTCTTCGAGAAGGGGACGAGCCTTGTTTTAGTTTACGGAAACATACGAATGGTGACGAATGTAATGATAATGTGGTGATCGGCGATGTCCGGAAGGGTAGACGAGGCTATCCGAGTGCGGAGACCCGTGCCAGAGAGAGGAGGGGACCCATGCAGCTCCAAGCCTAAACACTGGACTGGGATTAAATCTGGCCAACAGTCGAGGTCAAGCAAGCAAAGTGAGTACAAGTGCTATTCTACATTCAACGCGGTGTCAGCTGTTGCTACTATTACAGCTGGTGTCGGGGTAGTGGTGGCAGCAGTTTATACTACAATCGCGCTGTGAACTAAACTCGGACTTCGTAGAAAATGTCCGACACGAAATCCCAGGCATCGCAGTGGTGTTGTTGATTGGAGGAAACAAGAAGTTCAGGGTATGGACACCCTCACACGAAGATCCCAGAGTAGATCCCATCACCCTCACTCTTCCCTCTATCGCTTATATTTGCCAATTATAATGGAAGGACGTGGTTTGATTAACGTGCAGGCCCTTTATGATAGAATTGTATTGCACTTTTGCACACATTTATTTGTCTGATGATCCTCTTGTGAAGCTTAAAGAATCATGATGAAAACAAGGCATGTCACAGTTTTCTGAAACAAACTAAGGATATGTGATACCTTTGCAATGTCATTGTTTGATGTTGTTGATGGTTCTGTACTGCTGGACGGTACAGAAATGAGTGTCAACGAAACGAAGTGACATTGATATCAAATCGGACCACACTCCGGCTATGTGAACGACCACTGCATCGAGTTTGTGTGCAGTGTGTTGAGAAGCTCAGCAACCCAGCAGAGTCCTTAACTCGGATGAAGTCCGTCTGGCATGAAAAGTGAAACAGAAGCTTTCTGCTTGCTGCTCAGGACCAGTCACTTCCCACTCGAAACCGTTAATGTGTTATTTTGCATCAGAATATCAATATGAAATGTAGGCTATGTAATGAATTTAATGTGACTGTCCAACACATTGTCAGTGGATGCCCTGCTTTGGCACAAACACAGTATCTTAAGCGACATGATGGAGTGGCTCGATCATTTTATTACCGTCTTCGCCATGCTTGGGGTTTTGACACAGAGGTCCATCCATGGAACGACCCAGAATATGTAGAGGGCGTCATGGAAAATGATAAATACAAAATTCTTTGGGATAGGCCCAGTTACAGCCTCAGACGTATCCAGGCCAACAAACCTGATCTTGTCCTTTTTGATAAACCCAATGACATTTTTTATATCATTGAATTTACTGTCCCTTTTGACAGTAATGTGATTGACAAGATTGAGGAAAAACAAGGCAAATATGCAGACCTCGTTTTCGAAATGTCACGCCACTTGCACCCCAAGTACCAAGTTGTCCGACTCCCCATTGTTCTCGGTGCCTTAGGTTTGGTACCTCCCAATCTGTTGACTGACATTGGGAGAGTACCCGGGTTTGCTACCAGGAATACAGCCCTTCTGACAATCTGGGTAATGCAGAAGGCTGCAGTGTTGGGGAGTCTTCACATTCTCCGAACAGTTCTGGGTGGGTTCGACAAG